TCTGCTCCATCCCAGGAAAAACCACTTTTATTTCTCATGCATCCTTCTATAAGCAAATACAGCTACGTGTGCCTTTCCTGTCCTTTCATAAGCAGTAGTAGCATCCAATCACACTGTCCTGAGTGTTTTTCTTCTCAGTTTTGCAGATCTGTTTATAGCATTACATACAGCACTTCTTTATTCCAGATCCTCAAAAACACAGCACCCCAAGCTTTGCTCAATTCTGATGACAATGAACTCACAATTGTGCAGCCCTTAAGAAAGCTGCTCTAATACTTCCCCACAGGGCTTTTATCACTCACTGCTTGCCTAAGAGGGTTGGGCTTGGAGGCAGACTGTGCCCATCTCCATCCCTCTTTCCACTCCTCCAATCCCCTGCACAGCACTGAAGCAGATCAGGCCCAGGACTGGAATACTCCCCCAAACAGCATGACCAGCACCCACAACTGCCCTTAAAGGAAGCTGCAGAACTTCAGCTTTTTTAACAATACACTTCTGTGCTGGAAAAAATTAATAATGCGGGGCTCAGGAAGAAGTCAGTGATAGAGCCCTTGCTTCGGTTCAAACCCAACATTGCAAAACAAATAAAAAAGAAAAACTTCAATACTTTGTGTGTGTGTGTGAGTAAAGTGGAAAAGTTTATTGAGATAGAAAAGTGTAATGTGGGAAAATAGAGCCCCCAGAGTTGAGGGGTCCCAAGAGGGGCTGCCCCTAATAACTACTTAAAAAAAAAAATCAGTGAATAGCTGGGCACTGGTGGCTTACGCCTGTAATACTAGCTACTGAAGAGGCAGAGATCAGAAGGACTGAGGTTCGAAGCCACCCCAGGCAAAAAAACCCAACACAAAAAAAGGGCTGGTAGAATGGCTCAAGTGGTAGAGTACCTGCCTAGCAAATGTGAGCCCGAGTTCAAACCCCAGGACCACAGACATACACACAAGTCAGTGAATAAATGGTGGTTCCCCATTATCCTGTGCCTTGCAACTTGCTGGAGCGCTCTTAATTTTATGTTTAATTGGCAAATAATAATTGTATATATATTTATCAGTTCAATGTGATGTATTGATGAGTATATATTGAGTGATTAAATCAAACTAATCATCCTATCCCATTTATTACTTGTGATGTGAGCATTTAAAATCTATTCTCTTAGCAATTTTGAAATACACATTACATTACCTATTGTCACCTGTGCTGTGCAATAAATCTGAAGCCCTTATTTCTGCTGCCTAACTCGACTTTACATCCTCTGACCCCTGTTCAGCTTAGACGTTTTGCAACCTTTTCTTCACTGTCTAAAATGAATACCTATAAATTCATCCTACTTTCAATAAACTTCAAAGTAAGCTGCAAATACCAGAACACTTCACTCCAAACACTTTAGCATGTGTACCATCAAACAGACGCAGTATTCATTTGGGTTTTCATTTTCTGTAAAAATTACACACCATGAAATGTTTTGATGTGAGATTTGACAAATGCAGACAATACCTCCATTAGCCAGAGTGTGATATTTGGCAATTTTCTATCTGCCAACCAGGTAAAGAATGCTCAAGAGCTACAAATGAAGTAATGAGAGGAAAGCCCATTTCAGACAACATTAGTATTAAGTAGAGACTTTGTTACCAAAGATGTATCACAGAAATAAATTGTACAGGAAAATGCCACTTTCTGGGGTATGAAAAATGGCTTCATGTACCACCTGGGAAGGGTAAGTGAGAGACATGAAAAACTCATAGGGTTAAGGTCCAAACAGAACCCATAGAGAGCATTATCTCTGAAAAGAATCTGACTCAAATAGTCTATGTTCGCAACTGGCTATTGGTTTCTACAGTCACCTCTTCCACTTTCTTAGCCCTCCCAGCCACCCCCAACCATGGGGGTTTACATCCCTTTGATCCGTGTTACAGGTGGCTTACGAAGAGTGGTTAAGAAGTCAGGGAAAACACCTATGGGATAATCAACTTAAGAAATCACACTAATCTATTGTGTCATATGAAGAAAAACTTTGCTGACACAAGCAGCATGGAATCTACAAGAGTGCAGTGTACAAAGGCAGAGAGCAAAGGTCAAGGACATGAAAGCATGACTGCTCTGGCCACCACTAGTCAAGGATGTCAGCCACTGAGATGACATCCCACTCACTCCCCTTGCAACGATGGTCTGCTCACCAAGGAACTTCTGAAAACACTTGCTTCTCACACCCACAGGAAAGAGAACTCAATGACCATCTCGTTGTAGTTTACTTTGAAATGCATCAGAATAGGAAGGATGGATAGCTGGATGAATGGATGGAGGATGAATAAGGAGGTGGGGGAAGGAAGGAGGGAGGAATAGGTAGGTAGATGGATGGATGGATATGTGGCAAGATGACAAGGCAAACACAGAAAACATTAATAACTGTAGAGTCTAGGTGGTGAGTATATGCATGTCCCAAGCACTTGGTGGTTCCATACCTTACCTAGTTTGTGTAGAAATCTCCTGTGAGTTGGGAGCATAGCTCAAGTGACAAAGTGCCTGCCTAGCAAGCACAAGGCCCTGAGTTCAAACTCCAGTACCACCAAAAAAAAGAGAAAAGAAAGAAAGGCTAGAAATCTCTTGTAAATTGGACTGCATGATCTGAGCACGTACAGGATGACTTACAGGCTTTAGTTTCTAGGCCTGCAATCCTGGGACCCAAACTCTGAGCACTGTAAGATCACACCGTTTGGAAATCCTAGCTAAGCTGTCAGCTAACTTCCCTAGTTCACCTTGATATCTTGACTCTCAATAGCTGTTTTAGTCAGTTTTTCCTCACTGTGATGAAACACCTAAGATAATCAAGTTAAAGGAGGAAAGATTAATTTTGGCTCATGGTTTCAGCTATTCCAGTCTGTGATTGCTTGGTGTAAGATAAACTTGCACCTTTTCACTTAAAGAAAGCATTTTATGACTTCTCTTTGGCATATTAGAATTGCTAGCATCACTAGTCTTGCACTTTGAGGCAATTATTAAGTAAAGCAAGAGTTAGTTGATGACTTATGCACAATATATTTACAGGTAAAATACCAAAGTGAAATCCCCACTGAACACAGGCTTAAACAATGAAGGAGAGGGATGTAAAACAGGTCACGTCAAGGAGAGGGCATTGGGTGTGGGGAGGTAAATGAAGAGGGTAAGGAAGGGTGAATATGGTTAAACTCTATACAAGTATGAATATGGAACACTGAAACCTATTGAAGCCACCTTAAGAAAAAGGATAGGGTAGAAGGGAGAAAAATGGAGGGGATGAGCCAAATTGGGGTACAATACATGTATATAAGGATATGTCACAATGAAACTCTCTCTATAACTGTCATATACTAACAAAAATGGTTTTGTTTGGTTTTGTTTTTCTAGTACTGGGGTTTGAACTAAGGGCCTACACTTTGAGCCACTTCACCAGCCCTTTTACTTGTGATGGGTTTTTTGAGATAGGGTGTCATGAACTATTTGGTGGGGATGGCTTTGAACCATGATACTCCTCATCTTTGCCTCCTGAGAAGCTAAGATTCCAGGCATGAGCCATTGGCAAAAATATTTTTTAAAAAGAGTTAGTTGAACACAAGCACTGTGATACCACAACAGTCAATCTGATAACCAAGGTGGTACCAAGTAGCTAGTGGGCAGGTAGGGTATACAGATGGATACGTGGGACAAAGGGAAGGTTCACGAACCAGGCAGGGCGGAGCAGGACAGCAAGACATTTCATCGTGTTACTCAGAAAGCCATGCAATTTAAAATGTACGATTTGTTTCTGGAATTTTCCATTTAATATTTCAGACAAAGGTTGTCTGCAGATAGCTGAAACTGCAGAAAGCGAAACCACAGATAAGGGGAACTACGGCAGATGTTCGCCACAAAAATCTAGAAACAATGACCTACGCAGTAGCAAAGAGCAAAAGAAATGTACAAAATAAACCAGAAATGTAACAGAAAGCAAGGAATCTACCAAAGACTTCTAGACATGTCAAAAGGACCCAGAAGCTAGGCAAAGAGGTTTCCACTGATTGACCAAAGCAGGGAAATTTGAGCTTTAAAAAAGACAGTAGTTGCAAGCTGGGTACCAGTGGCTCACACCTGTAATCCTAACTACTTAGGAGGCAGAGATTAGGAGGATCACAGTTCAAAGCCAGCCCAGGTGGATAGTTTTGTGAAACCCTATCTCAAAAAAACCCATCACAAAAAAAGGGCTGGTGGAATGGCTAAAGGTGTAGGCTGTGAGTTCAAACCCCCATACTGAAAAAAAAAAAAGTAATTGCAATGGATTGAAACAAACAAATACTCTGAAATCCATGAACTGTTTTTGTTTTGGTTCAGTTTTGGCAATTCTGGGGTTTGAACTCAGGACTTCTGCTTGCAGGCAGGCACATCACCACTTGACCCATGCCCCCAGCCCTTTATTGCTTTAGTTATTTTTCAAGTAAGGTCTTGCATTTTTGCCAGGGACTGGCCTCATACTAAGATCTTCCTACCTATGCCTCCAGCATAACTGAGGACCACAGGTGCATGCTGCCACCCTGGCTTATTGTTTGAAATGGGGTCTCAGTAACTTTTTTTTTTTTAAGTGGGACTGGACTTGAACTAAGGGCTTCACACTTGGTTATTTTGGTGATGAGATCTCGTGCACTATTTGCCCAGCTGGCCTCACACTGAGATCCTCCTGATCTCAGCCTCTCACTTAGCTGGAATTACAGACGTAAGCCACCATCCCCAGCCCCCTCCATGAGTTCTTAATGATGCTAAAATATATATAATAGCTTGCCTTTGAAGTGGATAGAAAACAAATTTATTATATTGAATACCAATAAATAAAGGTGAAAAATTAAGCATTTAGCTTTTCCACATTAACTATACCACTGGTTATCAAATACTAGATCAGGAGAAGTAGCTCTTCATAAAAAAGACTCCAACTAACAAATGAAAAAACAGAGGGAGAGAAGTGAAGACCACAAAAAGACAGACACGCCAACATGAAATACCTCTGGTGAAAGAGCGCCCACAGTCTTGCCAAAGGGATCTAAACCTGGGTCCAACAGGTCTCGAAACTCCTGTGCTAACTTGCATGACACAGAGAAGACAGAACAGGTTGAATGTGAATTGAACGTTGAATCAGCAGTCAGCTGAAACTTAAGTCGTGGGACACTGTCCAGGTGAAACCTCCCTGACTCTGCAGTAGACACACTGGGAGGAAAAGAAGAGGATGAAGCAGGAAATTAGAGATTCAAAGACTTAAAACACATGTCAAATCAACTTTTTAAAAAAATCAATGGTCAGCCATGGTTGCGCATACCTGTAATCCCAGCACAATGGAGGCTGAGGTGGGATCATTTGGACTCAGAGTTCCAGGCCAGGCTGGGCAACACAGCAAAACCCCATCTCAAAACAAACAACAACAAAGGCAAGACTGTAACATCTAAGGATGTACATTTGGATGATAAAACTATAAAGAGATGCAAGTGGGCAGGCATAGTGGTGCACACCTGTAATCCCTGCACTCTGGAGGCTGAAGCAGGAGGATCTTGAGTGTGAGGCCAGCCTGGGTTACACAGTGAGACCTGTCTCAAGAAAAAGGAAAAGAAAAGAAAAGCAGTGATTACTATGAAAGTCAGGGTGCTGATAACCTTTGGGAGTAGGAAGGTGTTTGGGGTGGAGTAAATGGACATGGAGGGCCAAATTGTATTTCATGACCTAGGTAGTGGATATAAAGGTTTATGTGTTGGGGGAGGGGTGTTTTGTGCTAGGCAAGCGCTCTATCCCTTGAGCTACTTCCCAGCCCAAGATGTTTGCTTTCTAATAATTAAGCCATACATACATTTGTTTTGGTTGAATTTCTACATCTATATTTTATTACTTTTTAAAAACAACCTCTAATGTAGGAATTGGCCTATTTTTTTAAAGGGCCACATAGTAAGGGCTGGAGGTTTGGATCAAGCAGGAGCGATGCCTGCCTAGATAGTGCAAAGCCCTGGGTTCAAACCCCAGTACCAGAAAAAAGTAAATACTTTAGGTTTTGTAAGATAAGAGGCAAAAGTGAGGATGAACTTAATTACAGAACCATTTAAAATGTAACTAACTATACAAAAGTATAAACCCATAGCATAGTGACCTTAGAGGGTCCAGTCTGCTCCCACCCCATATTCCAAAGCCTCCGGAGACCACTGCTCCCTCCCCCAGCTGCTCAGCACATCCTTCCGTCTCTAAGCAACAGAAGGGGAGCTAACACGCGTGCGCAGAATGGGCTCCAGGCTCCACCCACCCGTTCACTCCCAGGAGAAAGGGGAGAACTCAGAGGCACCCAAACCCTAGTGCCACAGAACAGATGAAGGACTCCCTGCTAAATCCTGCATCTAGACTCTTCTCTCAAGCTCTTTTCCACCCTTGTCACTCAGGGTCTAGTAGACTAGCAGCAAAACAGCCTTCTCAGGAACCTGCTAAGAAAGCAAGACTCTGCCAGAACTAGACCAGGACCCTTCTTCCCTGCCAGAGCCCCACCCCAGGCCTACCTAATGGATGTCTGCACTTTTAACAAGATCCCAAGAGATCTATATGCAAATTAACATTTGACAGGCATTGCTTTCACAAACCCAGGTCAGGAGATGCTATAAATACATTAAACCAAGGACACCTCTCCCAAGTTGAACTTTTAACCTGTATAGTACAAGACAGCCTTTATGATTGATAAGAGGAAGTTTCCAAAGCTGGGTTCCCTGAGCCTAGTAGGGTGAAAAGAGCCTCGTGTCTCCTCTGTGCATCCATCCAGGACAGAATGCATCACTGACCTCAAGTTCCTGCTCTCAAAACCAAGGGGAAAATCAGAAAGGACAATTTCCACTCCTAGAATAAGGACGTAGCTTCTTTTAAACAGGGTGAAATTGGGGTGAGGGGAGGGTGTCAAGGATGTCTGCCCTGGACCTGGCAAGATCAATAAGTCAATTTGCAGAATAAGAAAAGTCCCAGATGCAGGGAGACAAAGCGCTGTCATTAACAATAAAACTGCACCAAAACTTCCCTTAAGATCTAGGAGGAGACAGACCCCATTTGCATATTAAACTGCAAAATGAAATTCCTACAAATATCAAGACAATGCATCAGAACTCGTGAGAGAAGTCCCCAGGTTGGTAACTTCCTTGTCTGATAGCTCTCTCCACCTCCATCCGTCTTGGGAAGCTGCAGACCTTAAGTTTAACTTCCTCATGAGATGACAATGGCAAATCAGAATAGACACAGCCCAGCCCTGGAAGAACCACTTTGCTTCACGAAGAAACGCTAAGCAGAAGTGAGTCACCAAAGAACATCACATTTAACAAAGAAAGAAAGAAAATGATTGTTTTTTTAACAGCAGGGACAAAAATACTAAGATGGGAAAAACCTACTTCAAACAGAAGCAACTTAAAAATACATTGAAAATCCGTGATACATGCTACATTTTGCTAAGTGAGAGAGTTAGTCACAAAAGGTCATATAATTCTGTGATTTCATTTCTGTGAGATGTCCAGAATAGGCAAATCTGTACAAATACACAAAGTTGATGAATGGGGCTAGGAGGGATGAAAGAATTGGGAATTCATAGCCAAAGAATGCAGGGTTTGTCTTGGAAGTAATGAAAAATGTTCTAGAAGTGATTGTTGTAATGGTCACTAACTCTGAATATTTTAAAAGCTACTGAATACTCTTTACACTGGTGAACTGTATGATGTGTGAACTATATTTCAATAAAGCTAGCTTTAAAAATTCATGGCACCAAACTAGATCCAAGTTAATCCAAAACATAGAGTTCCTACTATAACACAAAGACTCCTGGAAAAATCTGAGAAAGAGTTGATATGAGTACTAAGAAGGAGCCCTGCTATTTTTATGTGGCAAAACAGTCCCATTTCAGTTTGGGGAAGGAATTTCACAGTCTTTTCTCAAGGTCATCAGCCTCACAGAAATCCCCATCTGGCTTTAGGTTCCTGTTCCAGAAACACTGGAAAAACCAAAATACACAGAACACACTTTCAAAACAACACCTTTAACCTACATGGGTAAGGGGGAAAACAGGATCATGGGATAGACATGACAGGTTTGTCAACATTCATAGCTGACAATTCACAATTGCTATAGAAACTCAAGTTCAAAATACACTACACATTCCCCCAAGGACACTATATTTCAAAAGACCCAAGTAACAAAACATAAAGAATGGTGGCCAAAAGAGCCCTTGGGATTGCCAGGGCCTTCTCTGTGACCACACCAACCTCAGCACTGCTGCTTCTATGGGACCTTAACCTTGGCAAATTCCCTTCTCTCTTCCTAATCTGTTTAATTTCCCAGACCAAGGGCAGAGGAGAGGTCATCAAGAGAAGCCCCTGAAGAGCCTGGCTGTACTGACAAGGCCTGGTGGCTTCACAGTCACAGCTGTTACCATGGAGAAGGCAGAGGTGTCTCTTACCCTAGAGTGTTGGGAGGCTTATGGAGAGATTTTTGAAGCTTTCAGCCAACAGCTTCGTTCTGACCTGCTGACCTGGATTCTCTTTTATCCCCAAATTAAAAGACCAAATGTTATCAAGCAATAAATAATGGAGCAGATGCTGTTTGGCTTCTGTGGCTCTGACAGGCTCCTGTTCCAAAGGGCCTACTTCAGTCCTAAGGACAAGATGACTATCTGCATTGCCAAGGGCAAAGGAAACTGGCAAGAGCCTAGAACGGTGCCTGGCATATAGTAGTGTTCAATAAATATTTGTTGCCTTCCTCCTGAATGAATGCTGATGTTCCCTTTGGCTTTCTCTGCCTTCCTCCCTTGGCCTGGACACACACATGAAATTGGATCTACACCTGTTTACTGCAACCACACTTAGAACCTTGCAAAATCAGTAACTGGTAGAATACAGATTTCAGAGGTCAGGGCATGTTATCGATTTTGTTACTAACCTACCCTAGGCGCCTAAAACAGTGCCCAGCACATAGTAGGCTCTCTATGAAGGCGAAGTGAATGAAGGGCCTACTGTGTCAGGGCCAACCTCTGCGGGGGTCCCCTTCTCAACCACTTTTGCCTGGCGGCAAAGGCTGCCCTGCGTCCTCCACTTGCCAGGGGTCGCTGTGGGGAACGCCCGGCTTCCTTTCGCGTTACTCTTTGACCCCTCCTGAAGCCGCTGCCCGGACCAAAGATGGCGGCATCGGTGGCAGCAGCAGCTGGGCGTCTGCGGCGGGCCATTCGAAGGTCGTCCCCGTGGCAGAGCCCCAGCCATCGGCCGCTCTCAGCCGAACCCCCTCTGGCCCAGGGATCGGCCGTGCGGGACACCTTCCTGAGCTTCTTCCGGGATCGCCATGGCCACCGGCTGGTGCCCTCGGCCTCCGTGCGGCCTCGCGGCGACCCCAGTCTGCTCTTCGTCAACGCCGGCATGAACCAGGTGGGGCCTGAGCTACTCCGATCGGGGGCGGGGTTTGCGAGGTGTCCGCAGAAAGGCGCTGCAGGATTGGGCAAAAGAAGCGAGGGGCGGGGCTCGAGGCTTTCGCGGAAAGAGGGAGGTGCATGGCTGGGTAAAGTGGTTTGAATTGGAAAAGTTTTGGGTCTTAGGACAGCAGGTGTGGAGTTTTAGGTTTCAGGACAGCAGGTGTGGAGTCCCGTGGGGAAGGCTTCATTCTTTAAGTAAACATAACTCGTCCATTCAATACATTCTTATTGAGCACCTGATATGTGCCAGGTAGTGTTCTCTGAGCTTTAACTCTTTCTAGACTTCATTGTCCTTATCTGTAAATTAAAGGCAGGGTGGGAGGTTATTAGAGGCTATTAGTGAACCTTACGAAATGCTGGTATTGTGGGCAGTGCCCAGTATCTTGTGGTTTTAATTTTGTACCTTGAAGTTACTGAGTGTGGTTGAGAAGCTGAGATGGTGGATGTCGTCTCCTTTTGGTACCATTATGTTCCTCTTCCTATGACTTTCCCAATTTTACTAGCAGAGGAGCTCTGGTTCATGAGTTATTCTACCCCTTCTCTACCTCATACACACCATGGCTCCCAGGTTTTCCTCCTAGGTCAAGACCACACTGGGCACTCAGGGTCACATCTTCAATCTGAACAGCCATCCCTGTCCACTCCCCACCTTTCCCTTCTACTGAGGAACTGAGATATTCCCCCTCTTCCACTGTATGTGCTTCTAGTTCAAGCCCATCTTCCTGGGCACCGTGGATCCACGAAGTGAGATGGCAGGCTTCCGACGTGTGGCCAACAGCCAGAAGTGTGTGAGGGCTGGAGGACGACACAATGACCTGGAAGACGTGGGCCGAGACCTCTCCCATCATACCTTCTTTGAGATGCTTGGAAACTGGGCCTTTGGGGGTGAATATTTTAAGGTGAGTCTCAGAGTCTCCAGGAAGGTCTGAAGTTAAGAAAGGGGTCAAGGTCAGTCCTGACTTTTCCCTCCTGTCTGCTTAGGCAGGGCCTCATCTAGTTACAGAGTCACTGGAAAGTGTCTCACTTCCCCAGCTGGATTGGAAGTCCCTTGAGGACAGAGACTGTGCCTCCTGCATAATAACTGGTGGGAAGTTGTATAAATAAATGGCCAGATAGCAAGGCTGAGATGTTAACTGGAGTTAAAGATCACCCAGGCTAGGGTGGGCAGAAGAGTTTCTGGACTGGAAAGAAGGTGGCTTTCAAAGAGCAGGGAAACTTTCTGGCAGGAAAGAACGCAAGGCAGAAATGGTCATGGCTTGTTCTGAGAACAGAGTGGGTAGTGGGAATGGTTTTGTCTTAGGCTGAGGCCCGAACTCATTTGGCTTGGTTGGCACATCAGTGGGGCATCCCACTCACCTGCCTTCTGCACACGCCACGCTGTTTTCTGCTTCAGGAGGAGGCTTGCAGCATGGCCTGGGAACTGCTGACTCAGGTCTATAGGATCCCTGAGGACAGACTCTGGGTCTCCTACTTTGGTGGTGACCCCAAAGCCGGGCTGGACCCAGACCTGGAGAGCAGAGACATCTGGCTAAGCTTAGGGTAAGTTAGTCCCGTCATTATGTCCCCTCCTGGTGGGCAGAAGGACTGGAAAACAGAGCACTGTTCCTCAGAGTTTAGCATATCCCAGGATACTGTGGACCAATACTGTTCTTTCTCTTGTTGAGCTGGGTCTTAGAGGAGGGGCTGTCATGGCAAAGGGGTCTGAATCTGTCCATCCCCCACTGGTACCTGGCTTTCTTCCCAGGGTGCCTGCCAACCGTGTGCTTTCCTTCGGACCCCAAGAGAACTTCTGGGAGATGGGTGACACTGGCCCTTGTGGACCCTGTACTGAGATCCACTATGACCTGGCTGGAGGGGTGGGAGCCCCCCAGCTGGTGGAGCTTTGGAATCTGGTCTTCATGCAACACAACAGGTAATAGGGACTAAGGCAGGAGGAGCACCCCTCACTGGAAGTGGAAGGTGGCTGTCAGAAGAGGGACCCAGTTATAAAAACAAACACTGAAAGGGCACTGTGTGTGCCAGGCATGTTTCTAAACACTTTTCGGATAACTGACTTAATTCTAGTTTTGTCAGTTTAAACTAGTCATACTACTTACTCTCTGGTCCCATCATATGATAAAGTTGAACTTGGTGATCTCTTAAGATTTTTCTTCTAGCCTTGACATGTCTAAGGGCATGTCTAGTAAGTGATGTCTGGGTCCATGCAAGGGCCCAAGCAAGGGCAAGGGTAGAGTTAGCCCTTAATGAGAAAGGACAGGACTAAAGGACACTGGGTGGTACCAGGGAGGCAGGCACTGCCCATGGGTTCCTCCAATTGTCAGCCCCCTTGATCCCTCCTCATGCCTCTGCTGTTCTTGGCCATGTGCCTTACACCTGGAATCCTCACGTTGCACACCTTTCCTGGCCAGAGAGGCAGACAGAAGCCTGCAGCCCCTGCCTCAGCGGCATGTGGACACAGGAATGGGCCTGGAAAGACTAGTGGCTGTGCTACAAGGCAAGCGCTCCACCTACGACACTGACCTCTTCTCCCCCCTGCTCAATGCCATACACCAGGTAAGCCTACTTCTGCTCTTCAGAAGCCCTTTGACCTGCTCAGCCCCAGCACTCGGCCCTGTAGCTTTTTATCTTTTCTGAGAACTCAGAGCATTCTCAGCGCATAGGGACAGTAACCAGCCAGGGATCCAGGTGTCAAGCGTAAGGTTAGGATTCATTCATACCTGATGTTGCTCCTAATTCCTTCCTTTATCCATTCAAAAAAAATTTCTTAAGTCCTTTGTGCTTGGTACAGAGGATGTAGCAGTGAACAGAAGAGATCATGGAGATTACCTTTGAGTGGGAGAGACAGACAATAAATCAATGTTTTTAAGAACAAGATGGTAACTGACAGATTGTGAACAGGCAGAAACATCAGTGATGGTAACTAGCAGAGGAATCTTAGACAAAGTATTTGAGGAAGGCTCACCAAAAAGATGACCTTGGAGCTGAAATCTGAAGGAAGAGTCAGCTACAGCAAGCTTATTCCAGGCAGAGGGGGCAGGAGGTACCAAGGCCCTACGGCAGGAAAGGGCTTGACATGGGCCAGGAACAAAAAGGCGGCCAGCCAGCTGAAATAGAATCACATAAGATATGATTGGAGCTTCTGTAAGGTAGCTTTTGCTATATAATAAACCTAATGCACCCTGAGTTACAACAGCCACCGTTCAGCTCAAGCGTCAGTGGGGAGCAGTTTGGGCTGGCTTCACTGTGTTGCTCTTTTGGTCTCACATGAGCTTACCGATACATCTGTGCTCCACCATGAGGTAGCTCCACTGCTGGAGGTTGGCTGGCTGTCAGTCTTGGGCAGTGGGGTGACTGGGCCATCCAGACAAGCCCAGGCTTGCTCACATCACGGCTCAGCCCGGTTCTAAGAAGGAGAACAGAAGCACAGGCTCAGACTGTCCTTTCCACAGTATTTTCTTAGCCAGAGCAAGTCATAGACCAACCCCAGACTCAGGAAAAGAAGAAATAGATTCTTCCCTTGATGGGAAACAGCTGTAAAGTCACATTGCAAAGTGGCATGTGCTGAGAAAGGGCCATTTTTACAGTCTCCCCACAGAGAGGAAGGCAGGAGTCACATCTTGTGGGCCTTGAAGTCCGAAATGAGGCTTTCAGTTCTGCCTGCAATGAGAAGGGCTCTGAGGGGGGAGGGGCAGGACCTGCTGTGCACTTTTGAAAGGCCACTTGTGTCTGTCACTGTGGAGGATGGGCCCAAGGGAGACAAGTAAAAGCCAGAACCCTGTTGGGAGGCTGTCACCAGCACATGGGAGAGGAGGGGACATGGCTTACGTGGTGGTGGCTGTGGAGTGTGGAAAAACAGACTGAGTTGAGGCCACCACCAGAGGAGAAAGGACCTGCAGTGGGTGGTTTGGGAGGGGAAAGGTGAGTTACAGGGCTGTGTGTTGCCCTGGGAAGAGTGGGTTTGGAGCTGGGCAATTCCAGCTGTCTATGAGGAGCACTTCCTTGTGTGACAGCTTGCCTCCCACCCTGGGAGGACTGAAGAGGTGGAGCCAGAGGAGGAGAGCACCTGGAATCAGCGGCGGGTACAAATGTCACCACTGTCCCTGATGGGCTGTGTGGCCTGCAATACTGAGCTCCTCTGAGCCTCCTTTTCTCCTTTAAAACAAGCATGATGATACCTCCTGAAGGGGCTGTTTTAGGGATGGGTGGGTTCTGATAGAAATTCAGTAAGTGAGCACAGTATGTTGATGTTAATGCTGAATGTGGGTCCAGGACCGCAGTGACTGGCTCCTGTTCACAGTGTGGCTGTAGTAGAGGTGATCAGCTCTAGGGCTGAGGGCAGATGCTCTGTGGTGTACCAGGTCAGGCAGGGCCAACAGTCATGTCCCCCTCTCTCCTTTCCAGGGCTGTGGGGTGCCCCCTTACTCTGGCAAGGTAGGGGTGGCAGATGAGGGACGCATTGACACAGCGTACCGTGTGGTGGCCGACCACATCCGCATGCTCAGTGTCTGCATTGCCGACGGCATCTCCCCGGGAATGTCGGGCGCCCCGTGAGTCTGGAAGGACTACAGAGAGGGGCAGGAGCTGCAGGAATTGCAGGGCGAGGCAGGAAGGAAATGGAGGGTGGGTCAGGTTGACAGTGTGGGAGGAATAGGGAAGGGAGAGGGCTTTGGGATGGGAGCACACACCCCATTCCTCATTGCAGCCCAGGGGCTGCTGGGAGTTCATATCAGGCTCTGAACCTACAGGCTGATCCTTCGCCGGATTCTCCGTCGAGCTGTGCGGTTCTCCACAGAAGTCTTGCGGGCACCTCCTGGCTTCCTAGGCAGCCTGGTGCCAGTGGTGGTTGAGATATTGGTAAGGGCAGAATTTCCTCCTTCCTTCCCCCATTCCCCCCAGGGAACCAACCACTGAGCACCCACCGATCCCACCCTAAATGGCCAGCCCAGCACCCTGTCAGGAGGGAGACTTCAGGAGGCTCAGGCTGCTGAGCCTTTGACCTTGGGATCTCCTTCAGCTGCTATCCCTACCCCACAGGGAACACCTAGTTGGAATCCTCCCCCAGTTCCTCACATAAGCTGAACCTCCAGGTAGGCATCCTCAGGGTGGTGGGCCAAGGAGGTAGAGCGGGCTGCTTGCCTGCCACATCTCAACTCTCTCCAACCCCCCTAGGGAGCTGCTTACCCAGAACTGCAGAAGAACTCAGCCCAGGTACAGATTCAGGTGGGGAGGGGCTGACAGAAGAGCTATAAGGTCCCCTCCCTCCAAGGGAACACAGCTCCACTCCCACCCTGCCCGGTGCAGATAGCCAACCTGGTGTCAGAGGATGAGGTGGCCTTTCTGGCCTCCCTGCAGCGAGGCCGGCGGATCATTGATCGCACCCTCAAACAGCTGGGACCTTCAGATTTGTTCCCTGGTGAGTGGGGTGTCTAGCCAAAGCAAGAGGACTCAGAGACGCTCACCACCCCTGTGCCTCATACCTACCTCCACCCCTAGTTCCTCTGTACTCTCCTAATACCTAGACCCGACCCGTGATTGCAGGAGTCCCCTGCCCCTCTCCTCCTCTCCCCACTGCCCAGCCAGCCTCCTCCCGCCCTCCCGCTTAGACTGGTGAAAATGTGGTATGACTTTGGGCACCTTGGGGTCCCCCTCTGGCTCAGCCTGAAGCTTGAAGGTGACCCCTCACTGGGAGTTGCCAGTATGGGGAAGGGGGCACTTGTGCTTGGCACCTAGTGGCTTCTGTATGACTGGAAAAGCCCTGGCCTTTACTCATTCTGAACTTCTCTCCCTTTCCTTTGACCCCTCCTCTCTTCAATACTCTTTGTCCTCCTTCCTCAAAGCCGAAGTGGCCTGGTCCTTATCACTTTCTGGGCATCTGGGGCTCCCCCTGGACCTGGTAGAACTGATGCTGGAGGAGAAGGGGGTACAGCTGGACTCTGCTGGCCTGGAACAGCTGGCTCAGGAAGAAGCCCAGGTATAGGCTAGGGACCCCCCCCCCACCCACACACACACACTAGGTTCCATTGAGACATGTCAGCTGCTTCCCCAGAGCCCTGAGCTCCTGGTACCAGAGCTATTGAGAGGAATCTAGAGACTGAGGCAGGGCCTGTCCCCTGTCTTGGGGACCCATCATCCTCAGGCCCTATGCAGAATCTATAGAAAGGAACACTAGCCTAGTGAGTTGAACAGAGGAGTAGGAGAGAAGCCAACACAGTCCTAGGGAGGGCCTCCAGGGGTGGTGGTGGACACAGAAGCCTGATCCCAAGTTGCTGCGATGGCTGATGCAGCCAGCCAAGCCCTGAGGTCTACAAGGATAAGCTCAGGGTCTACAAGGATAGGGCTCTGCAGGAAAGACAGGCCTCTGCAGGGCTCGAGCCCCATGGTATTCTCTGTGCACCTACTCCATCCACACATTGCCCTGCAGCACCGGGCCCAACAGGCTGAGCCAGTTCAGGAGCAGAGACTGCGTCTTGACGTCCATGCACTAGGGGAGCTGCAGCGCCAAGGAGTGCCCCCAACCGATGACAGCCCCAAGTACAGCTACTCTCTGCAACCAAGTGGGGGTTATGGTAAGAGCCTGGGCCAAGGCCATGGCCACAGCTTGCTTGACCATGATGAGGAAGAATGTCCTAGACGATAGCTGTCAGCCCCTGTGCATTCCTCAGAGTAGCCACCAGGGGTCACTGTGGCCCCAACTGGAAGCACCCCACACCCACCCAACGCCCCAGCCAAGTGCCTGTGGCCTGGAGCCCCAGAACCACGTGCCACATCCCCAGCCCCTGCCTAGCGCCAACAGCCTTCTGTGCCCTGGCAGAGTTCGGCCCCTGTGAAGCCCAGGTGCTACAGCTGTATACAGAGGACGGTTCAGCCGTGGCCTCTGTGGGGGCAGGCCAGCGCTGTGGCCTCCTCTTGGACAGGACCAACTTCTACGCTGAACAGGGGGGTCAGGCTTCAGACCGTGGCTACCTGGTGCGGGCAGGGCAGCAGGTGAGTGTCCCCTGCCCCAGGCTAACTTACGTGGGAGGCAGACCTGAGCCTGGGTGGAAGGCAAGGAAAGAGTACGCAAGACAGCTGCAAGCAGTCACTTTGGGGCCTTGGCCCTGCCCTCCCCCAGGATGTGCTGTTCCCTGTGTCCCGGGCCGAAGTCTGTGGGGGCTTCATCCTGCATGAGGCGGTGGCCCCTGAGTGCCTGCAGGTGGGGGAGCAGGTGCAGCTGCACCTGGATAAGGTAAGGCCCCATGTCACCCCAGCTGTTCTTGATCGCCTGCAGCCCTTTCACCTCCCCATCCCACCCTCACCCAGGACCTTGGGTAACGAAAGTGTTCCAGGCCTGGCGACTGGGCTGCATGGAGAAGCACACAGCCACCCACCTGCTGAACTGGGCGCTGCGGCAGACCCTGGGCCCTGGCACAGAGCAGCGGGGCTCCCACCTCAACCCCGAGCGTCTGCGCTTTGACGTGGCCACCCAGGTGAGCTGGCACAGAAAGACAGGATTCATGTAAGGTGACTGCTTAAAAGAGAGGCACAGTGTGGGAGTTTGACTGGTCTGAGGGCCCAGTACTGCTGCTCAGCCACTGTGGGACCTCAGGCAAGTCCCTTCCCCTCAGGCTCCTCCTGCCGTGAGAGATCAGACTAGACAGCGGGGCTTTGCTCAGCTCCAATGTAGGACCCTGAGGGCCTTTGGCGGGATGCTTACTTGAGCAGCCCCCACCTTCCTTGTTCCTGCCTTCACTCAAGCCATTCTCTCAAGTCTCCAAGTTCTCCCTGCTCTACTCCCTTGCCTCCTTCTGCTCCATGTAGATCTGCTCAAGTCCTCCTGCCAGGAGGCGCTCGCTGGCTGATCCCATCCTACCTGCTTACTCCTCCTGCAGCTCCCCCTTCCGTATTCTCTCCCATTGGGCTGCCTGTGATAAGACGCAGAGTCCTTTTCGTTTTCTTTTTCGTCAGCTTTGGTACCTAGTGAAAGGCCTGCAGCTTCCAATAGGCCCAGTTCCCAGGTGGCTTTCTAAGGAAAGAGTTGTCTGCTCCATCAGTGTTTATTGAGTCAGCCACTGTCCTAGCTCTGTGAACACTGACTGCTCCTTAATGCACCAGTTACAGGAATGGGGCTGGTGCCTCTTTCTGCCCATTTCCCCCTACCTCTCAGGTACCACTGACTCCAGAGCAGCTCCGGACAGTGGAGGGCACCGTGCAGGAGGCCGTGGGGCAGAATGAGCCTGTGTACATGGAGGAGGTGCCCCTAGCACTCACCGCCCACATCCCTGGCCTGCGTTCTCTGGATGAAGTGAGTTGGGGAGCCCTGTTCATGGAGATGGCCCGCCCACTTCAGGCATGCCCAGAAGACTTCCTCCTGTCCTCTCACCCTCAGGTGTACCCAGACCCTGTGCGGGTGGTGTCGGTGGGGGTGTCTGTGGCCCAGGCATTGGAGCCAGCCTCCCAGGCTGCATTGTACACTTCCATGGAGCTCTGCTGTGGCACGTGAGTCACTCCTCTGCTGCCCCAGTCCCGGGTCTGGGATCCTCACCCTTCCTTGGTCTCTGATGCTACTAGTCCTTAGTTTAGGGCTTAGCCTTCTCCCCTCTTTCCCATCATCCTCCCCTGACTTTCTCCTCCTTCTTCCTACCCATAGGCACCTGCTGCGCACAGGGGCAGTGGGGGACCTGGTTATCATCGGGGAGCGCCAGCTCGCCAAGGGCACCACCCGCCTGCTAGCTGTCACTGGGGAGCAGGCGCAGCAGGTCAGTGCATCTGTAACCCCAGAGACTTCTGGGTGTGGATGAGGCCAGGAGACACACACAGCTGACACTGTCAGGCTCAAGGTGCCCAGCAGAAGCACAGCTGGTGTTCCTAATGTATCCTGGTGTGGCTGTACCAGCTGCTATCCTGGCAACTGAGTGTAAACCTGGCAGCCCTGATTGTCCTGACCCCTTCCTGCAGGCCCGAGAGGTGGGCCAGAGCCTGGCCCAGGAGGTGGAAGCAGCCTCAGAGCGGCTGAGTCGAGGCAGCCAGGATCTGGTAGAGGCCCATCGACTATCCAAGGACGTGGGAAGACTCACTAAGGTGAGAACCACCCCACCTCCAGCTGCTCCCTGCCCTCTTCCTGGCCTTGTTCTGTCTCTTACCCTTCCTGGACCCTTCCAGTCTCTCCAGCACTCCAGGTGGCTGGGCTCCTGCTGGCCCAGATGTTTGTGTGCAGGATGGGTATGGTGTCAGTCCCAGACCTGTCACTTCTGGTCTCAGAGGTAATGGCTCAGGGAAAGTGCAGGGGTGACACACTGCTCTGACCCCAGGCTGTGGACACTGCTATGATGCCCCAGTGGCAGCGGCGGGAGCTACAGACCACACTGAAGGCTCTGCAGCGGCATGCCAACACTGCCATCCGGAAGCTGGAGGTGGGCCAGGTGAGAGGTGGTGCAGCCAGAAGCACCCAGGCACTCAGACACACAGCAGTTCAAGCCCTGGGAAGCCTTGGGGCTGGGGCAGGTGTGATGCAGAGGCTGTTCAGGGACAAGGGGGTGGGAATGGATGACAGCTACCTCCACCTGCCACCAGGAGCCATTACCAGGCCATGCCTCTCCCCCCAGCCCTTCCATCCAGGAAGCCTCCCAGCTTGAACACCATTGAGCCCCCATTGCTCCTTGACCATTGCTCCATCAGTCCCCTCCCAGTCCATTTGTGCCCTCGCCTTCTTCCTCTCACCTTCAGCGACCTCTGTGTACGGACCTTGAGCTATGGTGAAAGGGAAGAGGTGAGACAGACAGGGAGACACACAGGTAGAACCCAAGAAAGGAGGTCATGCTAGGCAGAGCCCCCACCAGCTCTGCTCAGAGCTGACGGCCTTCACTGAGGGAAGAAGCAGAAAGGAGGGCCTGCTGAACTGGAGCTTGTTCGGAGTGGAGGCTGGTGGGAAACTGGTCCTCAGCCTGAACCCTCAGCTGTCCTCTCTGCCCACAGGCTGTAGAGAAGTCCCAGGAGCTGTTGCAGCGGCACTCAAAGGGACCTCTGATTGTGGACACTGTCTCCACTGAGTCCCTCTCAGTGAGTGCTGGTGACGGGGTGCCACAGTCTGGGGTCTGGGGAGGGCCAAGTGTTGACTGGAAGGCGAATGGGCATGTGGAAAGCCATGGGTCATCCTGTGTCCCCTTGTGCAGGTGCTGGTGAAGGTGGTACGGCAGCTGTGTAAGCAGGCCCCCAGCACGTCTGTGCTCCTGCTCAGCCCCCAGGGTGCAGGCAATGTGCTCTGTGCCTGTCAGGTGGCCCAGGTAAGGGAGCAGGGGAGCAGCCCCACCCCCAGCCAGACCCCCCACCCCCAGACAACGGAGCCAGACAGGTGATGATCTATGAGGACACACCAGGATAGGGATAGAGCAATCTCCTTGTCCCCCAAAGACAGCCCCTCCCAGCCCTGAAGATGCTATGAGAGTCACTGCTTATCTCCCTTCAGGCCTCACTTCCCCTGCAAACAAGTCAAGAGACTTGTTGGCCTCCATACACATTCCTAGCCCAACCCTTCCCACATCACCTCACCAGTCCCGACCCTGTATCCAACTAGAGAGTGATTGCTGATTGCAGTGACTCCACTCCCAAGAGTCCATGGAGTAGATGCTGCCAGCGAGAGCCTCTACATCACTTCCCCTTCTGGTTCTGTACCCAGGGTGCCACGCCTGCCTTCACAGCAGAGGCCTGGGCACTGGCCGTATGCAGTCACATGGGAGGAAAGGCCTGGGGCTCTAGAGTGGTAGCCCAGGGCACTGGAAGCACTGCTGACCTGGAAGCTGCCCTCAAAACGGCACGCACCTACGCCCTCAACCAGATATGACCAGGCACAGATATGACAATGAGAGGCACATGAACTAAAAGCAAATACCTGGCGCACAGAAGGGGCTGCAAGAGCCTCCCTGGAGGCTGAAGCAGAGGACAAGGGGTTAAAACTGAGTGAATGAGCCAAGGAATGCCACCTGGGCTGCATGACACAAGGAGATGGGGACACAAAGAAGTGGGCCCAGAGACATACCACCCCCACCAAATGTGAAGACCTGGGCCATTATGGCTGTGATTGCTTATTAAAAAGTATTTAACAGAGGTGGCCAGGCATGGTGGTTCATGACTGTAATCCCTAGTACTCAGGAGGCAGAGATCAGGAGGATTGTGGTTTGAGGCCAGCCTCAAAAAAGTTAGCAGACCCCATCTTAACAAACAGGTGGGGGCACACCTGTAATTCCAGCTGCTACAAGGGAGGCACGGGTAGGTGGATCATGGTCTGAGGCTGGCCCTGTGCAAAAATTTGAGACCATATCTAGAAAAGTAACTAAAGCAAAATAGAGCTGGGGGAGTGACTCAAGTGGTAGAGCACCTGCCTAGCAAATGTGGGGCCCTGAGTTCAAACCCCAGTACTACCAAAAGAAAGAAAAAAAAAAGTATTTCATAGAGGATAAAAAACTCTGGAAGATTCTTTTACTTTAAAAAAGAGTGTTCTTTTCCCATCCAACATGGCTTGGGTGCCCCATCACCCATCCAAACACGGCAGAAAGGCCACCCAGGATCCAAATCTGAATCATGCTCATAGAGACTTCAGATGGGCTCTGCATGCCAGGCTTGGCTGAACACTGATAAAGGACTTTCTGACTGCCAAAACCCAGAGGTGACAGGAAATTCATGACAGGCAGACCCTCCTGGTGTCACTTGTGTTATTAGTAATGACTTGTTTGAATGAAGGCCCTGCTGACTTGTTGATAGCAGTGAACAGGGCCCGGTCAAATGCTGAGAATGTGACAAGCACCAGACAGACAACAGTTTCTGCCCGTGTAGGGCTCGCTTCCAGTGGGGGAAACGAACAACAGAGAGAAAGAAGAGGGTGTCAGGCGGTGATGAACCAGAGTGAGATGGGATCGGGAGGGCAGGAGTGGCTCACCACCTCACTGAGGTGGCATCTGAGGTAGGAGCTGGGAGGTAAGGGTGTAAGCCTCAAAGGAACCTAAAGGAAAAATGCTCAGGCAGAGGGAAGAGCCGTGCCAGGCCAAGGAGGGGTGAGGAGGCCGGTGAGCTGGGACAACAACAGGCGATGGGGTCAGACCAATGCTACACTTTAACACAAGTTGCACAGCACCACGCCAAGTCTGAGCTGAAGCTGAGGACCACTCAGAAAACACGCTCAGCAGGATGAAGCCAAAGGGTGGAGCTTTGCCTCTGTCCCCAAATCCTGTTCCCAGATGAAGGAAAGGACTTCAGGGGGCTCATCTTCAAGACAAAGGCTCCCTGGCTCCCAGGTTCTGGGGCCATCTAGTGAACACTGTGGAGCTAAAAGTGGGCCCTCCCACCACATCACTGCATGCTGCAGTGTCGCATTCTGACTAAGGTGAGGATTTGTTGGCTGTCACTGGGGAGGGCTTGAGGGGAGCCCCTGACTGCTCCCAGACCTTGACCTCAGGAGCTTGACAGTGACCACTGTTCACTGGCGCTCATCACAGGCCTGGCTCCTCTGTGACCACCAAGGTGAGGCGTTGTGGTACCCCCGTGCTATTGATGAATCAGGTGGCATCTGAAGTGCTAACTTACCCATGAACCCATGAGCTCCTAGCTCAGATGCCACCTCAGTAAGGTGGTGAGCCACTCCTGCCCTCCTGATCCCATCTCACTCTGGTTCATCACCACCTGACACCCTCTTCTTTCTCTCTGTTGTTCGTTTCCCCCACTGGAAGCGAGCTGTACACGGGCAGAAACTGTTGTCTGTCTGGTGCTTGTCACATTCTCAGCATTTGACTGGGCCCTGTTCACTGCTATCAACAAGTCAGCAGGGCCTTCATTCAAACAAGTCATTACTAATAACACAAGTGACACCAGGAGGGTCTGCCTGCTGTCATGAATTTCCTATGTCACCTCTGGGTTTTGGCAGTCATGGGGGACCTGAAATCCCTGGGAACCCACCCACCCAACCTGCTGGAGGACAATTTATTACTAGCCAGCCCTCTGGAGTCTGTCCCTGCTGCACCAGGCAACCCCATCCTGTCAGCCAGGGCTGAAAAAGGGGTGGCACAAGGCTTGGGGGCTGTGAAGGGGCACTGAGGAGGCTGGGGTCCTTCCTACTTCCCAAGCCGTGTTCAGTTCTTAAGAAAGGTGGAAGGTGCTCTTCTGCAGGGTTGGGAGGCAGCAGGAGGCCGGGGGACTTTCAGTGACCCTGTGGGCACAGGGAGACGGTCTTTATGCCACCATGCTTTTCCTGGGCCACTTCCCCTCCCCCACCCCCTAGCCCTTTCCACGGAAAGGGACGAAGGCGGCGCTGGCACTGCCGTCCAGGGGCCTGCCAGGTCCCCACTCGCCTCCCCCCAGGGTCAGGGTTCCTACTGCCCTCAGGGCGGGCAAGACGCAGGGCCACCGTGGACACAGCCACCCGCCCCGGCTCCATGGAACGCCTGGGGTGGCGGGTGCTGCCCCTGGCGACTCGGGGCGTCCCTAACGACCGCCGGCCAGTGAGCCAGTGAGGTCGAGCGACTCACTGACTCGGACGGGACCCGGCCGCCCTCAACCCACGCAGGCCGGGCGCCTACGGGCGGCCATCGTCTTGGCCCCACGTCTCCGTGGCTGCAAAGTGCCGTTCTGCACCTACCGGAGGCCCCAGCCCACCCGTGTCCACTCGAGGTGGGACCCGCGCCCCACCCAACCTCTGCCCGCAAACTGGCCCAGGGGCCTGGGGGCCGAGTAAAGGGAGTGGGGGGCCGAGGGGAGGGAAAAGGGAAAGGGAAGGGAGGTCCTTATGTCAGGTCGAAGGACAGCCGGCCTCAGCCCTGGGAGAAAGCTGGCCCTGTCCCCAGCTGCCTTGGCTGCCATCCTGAAGGCGCTTCCCTGCCTCCCTCCCGCTTGGTTACCACGGAGAGCCTCTCCGCCCCAGGTGGGATGGGGAGGGACCTGCCGGCCTTTGGAGGCCAGCGTTCCTGCTGGGTGCCGGGGGAGGGTAGGCAGGAGGGGTGGGGAGCAAAGCCCACAGGACTGGTAGACCTAAGTGAGCAGGAGCTGGGAGGAGGCCAGGCCAGGGGTTTGCTGGGCTACCAAGAAACTTTTTTATTTCTTGTGATTCCACAAACTGGGAATTCCCAGTGGGAATTTGGGAGTGACATGGGAGGCTTGAAAGAAGTTGTGACAGATGTTGACAAAAGCCCAGGACCCTGAGGACTGACCTACCTGAGGCCCAGAGGGGGCTCTCTTTTGGGGGATCCTGGGGTGGGAAGCTGGTGTGGGATGGTGAGGGGGAAGAACCCGGGTCAAAGCAGTGGGTGGGGGCCCAGAGGGGCTCTCACAGGCAGACCATCAAAGCTAGACCCCTCAGAGGGAAGTGCCCATGGGCACAGAAGTGCACCAGGGCTGATCTCCTTAGGAGGAAGGAAGGGCAACCATTGAAGAAGGGGCTGTGGTGAGCGAGGTGAGAAGGTTCTACAGCATCCTCTACCTTCTCCTTTGGGTTCTCTGCCTTGAGTGGTTGGATTTAACTGGGGGCTTAAGGAAGGTGGAGAAGGTCTGAGACCAACTCTGTGAAGAGGGAATGTGCTAGAGATCCAAAACCTTGACCCCTGGGGCTGGGAGAACATGGAGGGCTCTGTAGCAGGTGTGCTACCACACCAGGCTTAACACCTTCATCAGAATATCCAACCCATGTCTTGAGTGCTGGCCCAGCACCATATGCAATGTCACACAGACCCTGTGCAGTGGCCCATGTCTGTAATCCCAGCTACTTGAAAGGCAGAGGTAGGAGGATTTTGGTTCAAGGCCTGTCTGGACAAAAATGAGAGACCCTCATCTGAAAAATTACTGAAAAGCAAAAATGGGTAGAGATGTGGCTCAAGAGGTTCTGAGTTCAAACTCATTCCTCAAAAAAAATGAAAGAAAGAAAAAGAAGGAAGGGAGGGAGGGAGGGAGAGAGGAAGAAAGGGAAGGGGGAAGGCAGGTTTCAAAGTTGGGAGTGATGGTGCATGCCTATAGCCCCCCCGCACTTCAGGAGGCTGAGGCAGGAGAATCGTGGAGCCCAACCTGGGCTACGTAGTTAGACCCTGCTCAAAAAAAAAAAGAAAAAAAATCATCCACATTTGCTCCTAATCCTCTGGATAATGCTGTGAATATGAAGAAGGAAATATTAACTGCCATCTCCAACTGACAGGTAAAGAAACTGAGTCTAGGAGTGGGGGTTTTTGGCTCAAGTAGTAGAGTACTTACTTACAAGCACAGGGCCCTGAGTTCAAATCCCAGGGTCACAAAAACAACAACAATGACAAACAAGCCTTGCCTAGGTCTCACGTATGCTAAGGACAGAGTGGGGGTGGGGCCCTCTGCAGCACAAGGCCTGAACATAGCCAGCTGCTGTTCAACCTCCTGCATGTACGAGCTGTTGCACACTTAGTGCTCAATAATTCTTAAGCGTCCAGGCCATGGTCCCCAGGACACCCGTCCACCAGATGGACTTCAGATGGAAGCCATCAGAAATGAGGGCTGCCCTGGCCAAACTGGGACATCACTTTTGTTACCTGTGATCAGGCATGTAGGAAGCAGACCTTTATCACCCCACCTTTGGGAGCTGAGGCCTGGTGTGGACATCATCCCTTTGCAATTTCAGGCCCCTTCCCTGGTCCTGAGGACAGACAGCAGGGCTGGGAGGACGATGGCCTTTCCCTGGAGATCAAGGTCCTGGCTAAAGACATGACCATATGAAGCCCGATGGGCCCATGAGGCAAGTGCCATTGAGATGACAGTCCCCTGTGAAGGACTGTCCATTTTCAAGGGTAGATGTGCCCTTAGATGGGGACAGCAGATGGTGGCACAGGAGGCACTCACTCCTAGTGGCCTCTCTGGGAGGTCAAAGAGGATTCCTGACCTGGTGAAAGGACCAGAGTCCTGAACACCGTGCTTCCAGTCTTAAACTTGGATTCTCTGACTGCCCCACAGGCTCCCTGGGGAGTTAGCAACTGACCCACTTGGCACCTCTAGGACTGCCCTCTCCTCTGTGGGGCATAGGGGGCTGTCTGGGTGCCCCAAGGCCCCCAACTCATGCATGTCTGCTCCTCTCTGCAGGTTCCTAGGAAAGACAGAGTCA